AGAATAAAACTTATGTAGCAGTGCCAAGTGTCCAATTACCATTACCGCACTCAGAATTCGTTCCAGTACCAACATACCGAAGTATTGATCTTCAAACAGATATCAGTACTACAACCGCCGCTGCTATATCGATGCATTTCTTCTTAGAATACGACCCTGGTGAAGGTACATCCTATGAAACACCAAAGGACCCAATCCTAGTCACACAAAAGCAATTGGATGCAGTTGTTGCAATTTTGTGTTTGACTCAGAAAAAATCAGAACAACTGGCATCATTTTTGAAAGGAAATAATTTGCTGGCAAAAGGTACCAAAGTAACAGCATATCGAAAACGCCAAAAAGAGTTAGAAAAGTTCTTCAATGTGAATGATGCAAAAAATTTCGCTTATTGCAACGATATCGAAAAGTTAATGGAGACGATGGGGTTAACCTATAAAAAAGATGATTGGCGTTTATTCATCGATAGTTCACTAATAAGCTTAAAAGTTGTGCTTTTGCACAAGACGAATAGAATGCCTTCTGTTCCAATTGCATATAGCATAGCACTGACACTAGTGAAAATTTTGATAATTTGAAACACATTCTGGAAGTAGTCAAATATAACGAACACCAGTGGCGAATTTGCTGCGACCTTAAAATCAGGGACCGTAACAGTTACAACTTTTATTAAAAAAATCACTCTTTAACAATTATTTTTTTACTTTTATTTAATTACTCTTTAAATAACCGTTATTTCTGACTTTTATTTTATAAATCGAAAATAAAAATTATTTTTGACTTTTATTTAAATAATCTGCAAATAACAGTTATTTTTGATTTTTAAATTATATGTCTTAAATAACAGTTATCGAAGACCTTTTTTTGAAAAAGTCATAAATAAAATCCTTCACTGATCTTTATTGTTTCAATCATACTTATAAAGGTCATTTGAATAAGTCGTAGTAAACTTTTGTTTTCCAACACCTTCTTAACTGCGAAAAATGTTAATGACTTTTATACGATTGATTAAAAAAATAAAAGTCGGTCACTGATTTATATTAATGACTTTTAAAATTAAAAGTCACTGACTGATTTTTATTGATTACTTTTATAAATAAAACTCTTCAATAACTGTTATCTAAGCCATATAATATAAAAATCAAAAATAATTGTTATTTTGGATTTATAATATAAAAATCAAATATAATTGGTATTTTTTTTAATTTTGCATAAAAATTGCAAATAAAAATTTATTTTCAAATTTGAGTTTCGGTGCAAAACAAAATCGATTGGTATGTTTCACTTAGTTGTAGAACATTTCCTTCATAGTGAATTTTTCCATGAAAGTTTTCATCAATAACTGTTATGTTCGGTCCCTGCTCAAAATAGTTTCATTGATTACAGGCTTAACAGCATCTGACCGTCCAAAATATCCGTGTTTTTTGTGCAATTGGGATTCACGATACGGAGAAGGTGTTAAAGGAAGAAACCAGTACAAACAGCATAACTGCAATAGTCGCATTGGACGGAAATGGCCTAAAGACAATAGGCTACACGAAAGTCCTGTTCCTGAAATGAAAATTTTGTTGCCGTTGCTCCAACTTGGCATTGCTAAAAATTTTTTGAAATGTATCGCAAAAAGACCTGCAGTATTCAACCGCTTAAAAGACATTTTCCCAAGACTAAGTAACGCCAAAATTCAGGAAGGGGTTGTTAATGGTCCCGACATACGGAAACTAATGAGTCGTCAAGATTTTGACCAAGTTCTGACAGACCGAGAATTAAATGCATGCTCGCATTGAAAGCAGTCATTGAAGGACTTTTGGGTAAAGAACCCAAAGACAACTACAGGCAATCTGTTGCAAACATGTTGGCAGCTTTCGATCAAATTGGGGTTAATATGTCGTACAAATTCATCTCTTGCATCAGCATCTTGATCAACTCGCTCAACAGTTGGCAACTGAATCTGATGAGCAAGGAGAACGTTATCACCAAACTGCGCTTCCATTTGAAATAAGGTAACTATAGAGTGAGCATATTTTGAATTTCTAGATTTTTGTAATATCTTTGTCAGAGTGCACAATTTAAACATGTTGAAAACTATTTTCGTTTCAGGTACAGATTCCTCTGTCTGTCTCCAGATGCAATACTCGCTGTAATTTGTTGGTGGTATAAAAACACCTTTTAAGAAGAGGAAGACGAGGAAAAAGGGGAAGACAAAGATGAAATTCCAGAATATCTGTTGGACGAAATTATCGACCTTTCTGATGATGATGACGATGACCAAGATATTAGAGAGAGCAGTGATGTTGATCCACAGCCATTGCGCATACTTACAAGTGACAAATGTTCTTCTTCTGCCTGGAAACTGCCTGGAAGCTACCAGGAAATTACCTGTCAAAATGTATAACTATCCTGCCAAAATGTTAGACAGGGTGTATAAAGTGATGTAAAAAAGGCAAAAGTTATTAAAATAAAGTAAAAAAATTGGCAAAATATGCATTTAGTTAAATGGATTCCTGAATTTATATGCCTTTTTAGTATTTTAAAGCGTTTTGGTCAATAACTATTACACTTAATAGAACTTTTTTGCTGTTTTTGTCAGAGTCTGTATAAATTTTTTTTATANTCGCATTGAAAGCAGTCATTGAAGGACTTTTGGGTAAAGAACCCAAAGACAACTACAGGCAATCTGTTGCAAACATGTTGGCAGCTTTCGATGAAATTGGGGTTAATATGTCGTACAAAATTCATCTCTTGCATCAGCATCTTGATCAACTCGCTCAACAGTTGCCAACTGAATCTGATGAGCAAGGCGAACGTTATCACCAAACTGCGCTTCCATTTGAAATAAGGTAACTATAGAGTGAGCATATTTTGAATTTCTAGATTTTTGTAATATCTTTGTCAGAGTGCACAATTTAAACATGTTGAAAACTATTTTCGTTTCAGGTACAGATTCCTCTGTCTGTCTCCAGATGCAATACTCGCTGTAATTTGTTGGTGGTATAAAAACACCTTTTAAGAAGAGGAAGACGAGGAAAAAGGGGAAGACAAAGATGAAATTCCAGAATATCTGTTGGACGAAATTATCGACCTTTCTGATGATGATGACGATGACCAAGATATTAGAGAGAGCAGTGATGTTGATCCACAGCCATTGCGCATACTTACAAGTGACAAATGTTCTTCTTCTGCCTGGAAACTGCCTGGAAGCTACCAGGAAATTACCTGTCAAAATGTATAACTATCCTGCCAAAATGTTAGACAGGGTGTATAAAGTGATGTAAAAAAGGCAAAAGTTATTAAAATAAAGTAAAAAAATTGGCAAAATATGCATTTAGTTAAATGGATTCCTGAATTTATATGCCTTTTTAGTATTTTAAAGCGTTTTGGTCAATAACTATTACACTTAATAGAACTTTTTTGCTGTTTTTGTCAGAGTCTGTATAAATTTTTTTTATAGATATTAGTGTAACCCTGTAGCAGATAAAATCAGGTGATCTCAGCTGTCGGGCATTTCTGCAAAACATCTGATTCTTTTTTCACTTGTAAGTATGCACAATGGCTGTGGATCAACATCACTGCTCTCTCTAATATCTTGGTCATCGTCATCATCATCAGAAAGGTCGATAATTTCGTCCAACAGATATTCTGGAATTTCAATTTTTCTTCAAAATCAACACTGAAAAAATTGGTACATAAGAAATGAGAAGTAAATTAATATTAAGCTGGAAAACGCAAGTTTTGTATTATGATTGTTTTCTTTTCAAATGAAATTTATTGAAGAAACTGAGAAGCATATTATAGATCAAACAGAAAGCAAAAAAGACTTAGTTTAGTGGAAATATTTTCAAAAAGCATGAAAAAAAAATTTCCAACATTTTGCTTCATAAGCACTACAAAAATTTTCTAAAAAAATTTTTTTTTTTTTTTGATTGTTGCACAGGTCTCTAGCAATAATTTGGCTTGAAAAAATATCAATTAGTCGACGAGTTATAGCCAAAAATACCATATAAACAAACAAAACAAAAAATTCGAACTAACATAAACAAAAGCCGCGATACGGGTCTTCTACTTTAGCCTCTATTTTCACCCCTCACTCTCAGAATCGACCTAATGTCTGTGGAGTTGGCATACGGTATGACGCAAAATGGAAAAAAAAAAGTTGTTCTGAGTAGCCTTCCAATAGTTCTAGAGTTCTTGAAAAGGAAAAAAAAAGTTCTGGATATTTTCACACAAAAAAATTTATTTGAAAATTGGGTATGCCAGATTCACGCAGCATACGACATGTGGCAAAAAGGCAAATAAAAAGTTGTTCTGAGCAGCTTTTTAATAGTTCTAGAGTTCCTGAAAAGGAAAAAAAAAGTTCTGCAAAATTACGCCAAAAAAACACTTTTTTCGAAAAAGTCGAAAATGTTAAATTAAAAAAAAAAAATAAAAATTTAACCTGTTCTGAGTAGCTTTTCAATAGTTCTAGAGTTCCTGAGAAGGAGAAAGAAAGTTCTGCAAAATTACGCCGAAAAAAACACTTTTTTCGAAAAAGTCGAAAATAAAATTTTTGAAAGAAATAAAAAATTTAACCTGTTCTGAGTAGCTTTTCAATAGTTCTAGAGTTCCTGAGAAGGAGAAAGAAAGTTCTGCAAAATTACGCCGAAAAAAACACTTTTTTCAAAAAAGTCGAAAAAGTTCAATTTTTGAAAAAAATAAAAAATTTTATCTGTTCTGAGTAGCTTTTCAATAGTTCTAGAGTTCCTGAGAAAGAGAAAGAAAGTTCTGCAAAATTACGCCGAAAAAAAACACTTTTTTCTAAAAAGTTAAATTTTTGAAAAAAATAAAAAATTTAACCTGTTCTGAGTAGCTTTTCAATAGTTCTAGAGTTCCTGAGAAGGAGAAAGAAAGTTCTGCAAAATTACGCCGAAAAAAATACTTTTTTCGAAAAAGTTAAATTTTTGAAAAAAATAAAAAATTTAACCTGTTCTGAATGAATTAACATCCAAGGGAACTCAGAATCTAAAAAGAAGAAATCCTACAAATATTTCAGCTAACTCAACACAAAAAGTAAAAACAGATCATGAACTTTTTTTCAATATTTATTTATTTATTTATTTATTTATTTAGTCTACAGAAAAATGTTTTCTTACAGACAGTTGAGATAAAAAGATTTAGAATATTTAAGTATGTGTGATACATTACAGAGTGAAATAATTATAAATATTAACTTGTAAAGATAACAATGATATTCAATAGCAATTTGGGTAGCTGGCGAGGCCTTGTCTCCAGTCTACTTTTGTGTGCGGCGGGCGGAAAGACCTAGTTTCCGCTCCGCCCTGTTTACAGGCCGTTGATCATGGTCGGAAAGGCCGAGCTTCCGATCCATGTTCCCGTAGTCGTTACTTTGTAAGTGAGGCAGGCGGAAAGTCCTAGTTTCCGCTCCACGCTATAGACGAACTGTTGGGCGAGGTCGAATATGATTTCAAGAAATTTCAACGAGTTTGAAAATTGGGGTGGAAAAGTGGATGCGAGAAAAATTGTAGACCTCTCAGAAGAACAGCTAGATGAAGAAGATTTGGTAAACCACAGTCAGAATTGTTTCGAGCCGCCTGTTCAGCATTCAACCACCCATGAAGAAGAGGTGACTCACAATAATGAATCACTAGCAAGTTTATTGTTTCCCACAAATTTTGATAGCAAACCAATTGAAAAACTTCCAACTCCGACAGAAGAACAACTCGCAACTCCGACGGAAAAACAAATTTATCCATATCAAGGAAACAATAAACAACCGGAAAAAAAAGTTCGCAGAAAGTCTAGGTTGTCATATTTAGAAAAATGTCCTAACTTTGATGACCTGAAAAATAGCTCCAGCATTGGTTTGCCGCTCATAATAAATGGTAATCTTTGTAAACCATTCAAATTCGAGGACTCAATATTATCAGTAAACAACACTTGTGCTTTCGACTCCATCTGTCAAATCCAAATGGAGTGCATGTCCACATCGTCAGCATACAGAAGGATAGTTGAAGCTCAGCAAATAGGGATGGCTCGACTGAATTCCCAAATTTTAGACAAAAAGGCCGTTCTTGCAGATCACTATCGTTTGCGGGCTGAGATACTACTTGGAACTAAACTATTCCAAATTCAAGAACGTTTACGATACACCAAGAAACTTGATGCGCAAATAAATGCAATAGATCTATCGCAACAGCTACTGATCAACTGTCCCAGTTTCCAACAAAACGCAACTTGCTTGATTTGCGAAGTAAAAAAAACTATAATAGAACCAACCTTGAAAATTAATATGAAAATCATTTTCAAAAGCGGTTTTCAGCCATCTCCTTTGATTACACGTTGCATGATTTTGTTATAAGCATTTTCTGATCAGCAACTAAAAACTCTTTTTGCGTTTGCAAAAATCGTTATTAAAAATTTTATTATATTTTTTAAGCCTTAATAAATTATGCATTAATATTGAGCACTTTTTTAGTTTTTAAATATTAAACAAATTCGCACTATATATCTTTGGTATTTCTTAAAAATATTATCCGATTTTATTTTCTTAGGTATGTTGGAAACCTATATGATAATTGGTCTTGACTGAAACATTTCCCGATAGCTCCCGTTTGATACGGATCCTGCGAAATAATTTTTAATGTACACATTTATGTCATTTAAGTTTTTTTGAAAGAGGTGGCAACTCTACTCAAAAATATGTAAATGTTTCTCCAATACCTTCCGTTTGATACACATATTGTAATATTTGGTGTGAATTGCATTATTCATTATTTTTCAATTTTTTACCAGGTGGCAACACTAATTAAAATATTTTTTGGTGTAAATTTTCTTAAATATCTTTCCCAAATACCTTCCATTTGATATCTACATACAATACTTTACTTGCATATTTAAATAAATTTTATTTTTCTGACAGGTGGCAACTCTTTCAAAAATAGCCAAACTTCACAGGAACACTCTCCGGATTTCTATGAAGCTATCCTGGAAATTTTAACAAAATCCGCTGAGTGGTTTCGGAGTCTATAAGCTGCATAAACACATACATACATCCTCTTTTTATATATAGATAAACCTGTTTATTTTTCAGCTTTTATTTTGTGGAATTTAACTTTTTTCTAGCAGGTTTTTATAAAAATCAGAATTTTTTACTCGAAAATATGTAGTTGACAGCACTGGCTCTATTACACTTCTTAAAATAGTGGTTAATTTTGAAGTAAAACGTAAAATTTTTTCTCGTTTGTGTTAAAAAAAATTAAAAATTTCTTAAATAGGGCTAACGTTCAGTTTTCACTACGCATTATTTAAAAAAAAAACACTATGCTGGGCATTAAACACTACACGTGTCGTCGTGTTTCTTTCCACATTGCATTTTTAGAATGGCATAAATTTTTTGTCATTTCGTTGCATGGCGGAAATTCGATTTAGGAATTTATGAATCATATCATTGTTTTAGTATAGCAAAACTTTATCTCACACTTTTTTCAAATAACTCTAGATATTGAAACCGTTATGAACAATATACATATGTATGCAACAGAGCTGGGTAATTTTTGATTACGATTACATTTTAATTACGATTGCTTAATTGTAATCCTTAAATTATATACGATTACGATTACTTTAAATGTAATCATAAATTCTACCATTATGATTATCATAATTGTAATCTAAAAAATTTAAGGACAAAGATTACTGTAATCATAATCATGAAATACATTTCTAAGGGGAAAACCACACAGGCCTGTGTTATTTTTGATTATGTAGTACTTGGATGTGAAATAACGTGTTTTCTAAAATTTTTCAAGCAGATTTGCGCTCTAATGCAACGAACGTACTTATTTTAAGGAGGATACGGAGGGCATTTTTGCTCAAAAGGAGGACAGAGAAGGACACAATTTTTGAGGAGGATAAATGGCGTTTGAGGAGGACAATCCTCCTCAAAGGAGGACGGTTGGTCAGCTTAATTTAGTAGATTCCTTATGTGACAACTATGTATCATGCATTGCCAGTGGCGTAGTCAGGGGTAGGATTTGGGGGGATAGATCCTCCCCCCTTCGTCAGTGAAATTAAACTTGTTATTTTTGAATTAATAACACAATACTATTTTACCCTTCCGATTTATAATTTTTTATTTCAGACTGATGACAAATTATCTTTTAATGAATATATAAAATTATTGGTTGGTGGATTATGTATTTGAATATTTGCGAAATACACTAGGCCATTTTGCTTAGTTCCCCACAGTGTTGGGAAATAATCTATAATCTATACAAAAACTGTACTTTTCGACTGTAAATTGTATCGACTTTTTAATTTGCTCATATGCATGCATGCATACATAGATTCCCTTTAAGACCAATGCTTTGATGGTATTCACGGGAAAGTTTATGTAGGTACATTTACATATTTTACACTTTTAACATAAATGTCAAGGCAGATATTTTAAGATACACTTCTTAACAAACAAATTTTTTTAAAGTTATTATGAATGGATAAAAGAGTCATCTTCTTTGAATTCAGTACTAAAACTTGACATTTCAAGTGCTTATCAAAACTTTATACATGTTAACTAGATTGGCCATTTATCTTAAAATTATATAATTTTAAATATTTGTTTATACAAATGCAGTTTAACAAAACCCGTATAAATCCAAGGTTTAATCTTTGCGCAACACTAACAAAATCAACAAACTTTCGTAAAGCTTTTTAATTAGATTTGACATAAATACATATTTTGAGTATGCAGTTTTGTAGCCCGGCCAATTCAAATAAAGCGCATGTTTAAAATACATACCTGCGACTTATCGTTGATTTTTAATATGTTTTTTTGATGAAGGCGTTGCTCATTTTCTTCATTAAAAAAATCGACGAACATACTTAGATAATATGGAAGAAAATTACCGACATCGTCAAAAATATCCCATACGTTAACTCTAAATCACAGGTACTTTAAATTTTCACTTTATTAGACTAAAATTGAATCAGCTAAAAAACTGCAAAATATTAAGAGATACCATTGAAATAGAAAGTTCGAAATTTTTACGAAAGTTTGTCGATTTCTTTTTAATGTTGTTCAAAGATTAAACTTATTTTCATTTAGTGTTTGTTAAGGAGTAAACTATATTTTTATAAACATATAATTCAAATTAAAATATAATAAAATAAATAGTCAAATCTAGTCAATATGTGAGTGTCGTAAAGCTATAATATTTAAGAACATCTCTTTCTTAATTAACGATGACACTGTTTCTATATGAAGCTGATTTCAACATTTTGTTTTAACAAAATTTAGTATCGAAAATATTCTTTCAAAACATGCCTAGGAATGTGATATAATGGTTCGCTCAAAACCTTTTTTCAAAACTTATAAAGGCAAAAACGAGAAGGCGAAGACAAGAAAAGAATAAAAAAATTTCCCGCAGTGAATTTTCACATTTTTAAAACGGTATAGTAATTTAATTTTTTAAATTTAAATAAACCAGAGGTTACCAAAACTTTTTTTGATTTGCTTGACCTTGGTTTGTCGGTCCAAACAGGAATTTTTATTTACGGTTGATGGATAGCTCGTTTCCAATGGATGGTGGCAAGAAAGTGGCTGACTTATGTGTAATGATTTTGTATTACCGGCTTATGGTGACTCAATTTCTGTCAAATGAATAGTCCAGATTTGATGCTCCAACTTCTTTATTCTACGCAACAACATGGCTGGGGATTTGCCAGAAGGAATGTGACGGCACCTTTTGCCTCTATTAATTTCCACTGAGGGGTGAGTATCGACTCCCCGAATGTCGCCAGCTTTTAATACAAGCTTTTAATCCACGTTATTTACTTGGTTGTAATTCCGTTCTTGCGAGGGCTGATGAGCGTGGTTCGCTTCGTGTCCAATTCCAAAAAAAAAAATATATTTTTCTAGCCTCGTGGGATGTGACCACCGATTCTTTTATCGTATGTCAGTGTGGGCGTTTTCATAGTGGCCATGTCAATTCGTGTCAATACCGATATGATGGTTCGTGTCTTGAATAA